CATTACTCCCCCCCCCCCCCCCCCCCCCCCATTATGTCAATAATTGGATGCTGAAGTGCCTGATTAGATCATGTTAATTTTTTTGGCATGCGCATATGGTGTCTGCACGTGCCAAGAGCGAAAGCGCATATGCCATGATCCTAAATTACTGTAATATTCGTGCTTTTTTTTTTTTTTACCGCTACACTTTATCAGTCACACTAGACTCTGTGGTATCCACAACACGGGGGCCCGGGCTCTCCAAAAACCCTATTACGTGCGCTTCTTCTACACTTTTAATTCAGCTGATTAGCATTTTTAGTAATCGGTTATGCCATCAGCTGCTCATAACCGGCTCGAGGTTACTTCTGGGGGGTCACGTTCGAGGCATTTCAAACTCACGCTATCTCTGAGAGATGCTGGAGCCGTTACGCATAACGCATCATCAAGGATGCCCACGCGTCCCGCCTCTCCACACAAAGCACTATTAACCCTTCCAGCATCATTATTATCAGTTTTGGGCGTCCATCACACAGAAATAGCCCGTTTGCGCACACGCAATAAGTCACTCGGCTTTCTTACCGCTTGTTCCCAGCGCAGTTGCTCATGGACGCGCTGGTGGTTCCATGGAAAGACGATGGCCAGGACATGCGGGACTTCTTGAGCCCCGGCCGGTCACTCGTGTCCATGGCATTTGAGCGCTCTATCTGTCGGTGGTGATGCCGGTCGGTGTCAGAGTAACCGCGGTGTTTGATTTTGATGGGGGTCCGTGGCTGTCTCCACAGATGCTGCGGAGGCTTGAGGGTCGCCTGTCCCTCCCGGGGAACCGGCAGCGAAAGAGACAGGCTCTTCTTAGCGCAAGGTGGCGGTTCCATCATAGTGCGAAATTAATAGATGTACCGAACGCAACGTGTTAAGAGGAATAAAAACAATATGGCTATGTATTCGTTAAGAAATCAACCCGTCTACTGTCCGTAGCTGACTAGTCCCCATGTCTAACAGCGGAATGTATTGAAAGCAGGTTCAAAGGCAATAAAGATTCAGTGCTTTTGTGAGAACTAATCACAGTGTTCAGATAACAGGTGATGGCGCAATGTCGTCCTGTCTTCTTGTCATCTCCGCAAGTATGTCGATGGTAAATCCAAAAAGTTCCCGTGTCTCAGAAAGGCTCCACTTTAAACCATCACAAGGCGTCGTATAGCTAGCATCCGCGCCACTGAAGCTCTAACCCTGAAGTTTCTCATAGCGCGTCGGGTCACTTATGTTCAGTAGGGATTTATTGCTTTTATCAACCGTCCCTCCAGACTGGTTTCCTGCCGCGATTATTGCTGCTAAAGACCGCACATGTCTCTCCAAGCTCTGGTGTCTCCAACTGGATGCATGAGAACTCTGCAATGAGGAGCAATGTTGTGCGTCTGGAACTAACGGCGACTAAAACTCAAGCTCGCTGTCAGGAGATTCGCCTTCCACCTCCATTAAAACCTCGCCGCGATCGGTTTCATTAGGCGAATCATGTTGAATTTAGCCTGAAGAACAGCGCGCGTGGGATGATGGATGTGTGAGAGAGATCCATGCACGCGGCTTCTTCGCGTCCTCGCTTTCTTCTTTCTTGAAGCATTCGTTCAATTCCGCGAAATCATGATTGTAAATCAAAGTTCACCGATCTTCGTGCTGTACTTTAGTTTGCCGTCTTATCTCGGTCGTATCTTTCAGTTGTCGACAGATTTAACTCACTGCTGTGATAATGGAGGTTTCTTTCAGTTGGACTTCTTTAAAGGTCACGCATCTCCGCGCCGCTGGGTACACGAAGCACAGCATTCATTTTATGTATACACTGACATATCCAATAGACAGACGGTGAAATATGCAAGTGGGCATGCAAGGGTGTCTGTTGGACTTTTATATGGATTGAATAGCCTATTGGTTTTCATCATGCTGACAATAAATACCGCTGAAGACTGAATTACTGCGGACAGCTTAAACAAAAGGGCTCCCATTTACATTCCCAATGTGCACCTTAATGGAAATGTCAAGCACTTTCAATTTATTCTGCTTATCCTGGATCAGAAGAGGCAAATTCACAGCTCACTTACCCTTCTTTCCCCTTTCACCCCATAAGTTAGCCTGAAATATCACAGCTTACACTGATACGGGGCAGTAATGTATCTTAGTCAAAATAATAAGGCCAGTGTTCAGAGTGCATCTGGTACGGCGTATCTTCAGCGAGCAGTTTGTCTGCTCCTATTTTCACTTTGCAATAAGCGTATGCTACTTCTCAGCCCACTCAGAAGCACACATGTATAGACGAGCACTGAAACATGAAAGGCGATTTCTCAATGCAATGCCAAGAAAAGCTTTTCGTCTGGCTGGTGTCCCAAACTGTAGTCTTAGCATGAGGGCACCGTTGCGTTTGGAAAAAGGCTGTAAAATATTAATTTGATCCTCTGAGGAATGGACTAATGAATGCAATGTAAGTGCAGTTGGTCGTGCATCCAGCACCTGTCTCACAGAACAGTAAATATGGAATGCACTTGGGCTTGAATGATGTGTAACCGCCTCCTACACTAGGATATGTGGTATGTTTTGTCGCTTGGCATCTGAAGAAGCCGAATATTAGTCCAGAACAAGGCATGCCTATTTTCAGCCTTTCCTGCAGATCTGTGCAAGGAGGGAGCACTTTGTTCATCTTGTTTACCAGGCTATTACCTGGTTCTGTCCACTTTCTTATACACCCTCTGCTAATACTTGGACAGAGAACAAAAAAGGGCCTTTGTTTTAACAACAATAAAGAAGACGAGACAAAATGTGTATCATTAAATGCTTTTAAATAACACATAATGTTGAGAACAAATGACCAAAATATGAACAATACACTAAAATGTTTAAGAAGACATTCAAATACACATTCAAAATTTGGGGTAGGTAAGACTTCTCTCATGCTCAACAAAGCTACATTTGTGACCCTGGACCACAAAACCAGTCATAAGGGTCCATTTTTCGAAATTGAGATTTATACATCATCTGAAAGCTGAATAAATAAGCTTTCCATTGATGTATGGTTTGTTAGGATAGGACAACTATTTGAAAATCTGGAATCTGAGGGTGCAAAAAAAATCTAAATATTGAGAAAACCGCCTTTAAAGTTGTCCAAATGAAGTTCTTAGCAATGCATATTACTAATCAAAAATTAAGTTTTAATATATTTACAGTAGGAAATTGACAAAATATCTTCATGGAACATGATCTTTACTTAACATCCTAATGATTTTTGGCATAAAAGAAAAATCAATAATTTTGACCCATCACTGTAAAAAATGACCGTGAATTTAATGGTAAGAAACTAAAAATGCTACAGTAAAAATCTGTTAAATGGTTAATGGTAAATTCCCCTACTATATACGGTGAAAAACTGTATTGGACATTACATATAATTTTACGGTAGTATACCGTTTTTGGAAGTGAAAAAGACCATATAATTTACAGTGAATAACCGTAAATTAACTTCCCCAGAGTTACATTGTTTGTATACATGTTTTTTTGTTTAAATAACTATGTTTCTTCTTAGTTTTTTCTTATCAGTTTTGTATATTAGGGTTGTATGTTACAGCTAATGCAGTTAAATTTTTTATTTTCAATTAATGAAATTACGGTATTTAACTGTAAATTTAAGTTAAAACCGTAAAACCTAAAATGTTGCTACCATATTTTTTACGGTAAAAATTTACAGAATTTTTTTTACATTATACAATGTATTTGTGGCTATTGTTACAAATATACCCCAGCGACTTAAGACTGGTTTTGTGGTCCAGGGACTAGGGGTTGAACGACTTCTGATTTTTTGAAGTCGACTAATCGCTAATGACGTCATTAATGAACAAATAAGTCTGGGGCTGTGACAAACACCTTACTTTTCAGTTTCTAAGCTATTTTATTGAGAAATTTCCACGCTGAATGATTCTATGCGCGTGATGTACGCGCTACTGTCTGTAGCCTATGTGTGTACGTTACAGTGCAGCAGCGCATTAGATTAGAACGGCGATTAACTTACCTGTACAATAAGCGGTTTAAAACGTGCATTCTCCCGTTCAGTTTCGAGCATCCAGTAATATAATCACACATGTCTTGTGGAGCGCTTTCTGAGTATGCATTTATTTGTCATTTGAACTGTTTGGAAACAGAGCGTAAATGGGGAAGTCCTTCAAAGATGTCTTATCCTGTTGTGCCCTCTATAGGACCAGCGACTAGTCGACGTCAAGCTTAAAGCCTCATGGCAGAGCATTGAAGTCGACTAGTCGGTGCAACCCCTACCAGGAACACATTTATTTGAGCAAAAAATACAGCAAAGTATTATCAAAATTTTAATTAAGTTCTATTTTAAAATATAATTTATTCCTGTGATGGTCTCCGGTTTTTAGTTTCTTTATATATGCTGATTTGCTGCTCAAGAAATGTATTATTATTATTATCAATGTTAAAAAACAGTTGTGCTGCTTAATATTTTTGTAGAAACTTTTTTTTTCCAGGATTTTTGATGAAAAGAGAGATCAAAAGAATCACATTTATTTGAAATATTTTGTAAAATTCTAAACATATTTACTGTCTCTTTTATCAGTTTAATGCTTAATAGAACTATTATTTATTTCAAAAACAAAAATCTTTCTGACCTCAAACATTTGAATGTTAGTGTATGATAAAAAAACTCATCCAAATGTAGAATATACACACATAAAATTAAACAGATATAAAAACTTAAATGTGACATATTTGGTTTATTTTTGCTCTTGCAATTTTAAGTCTAAGCTCATTTGATGTTAAACCATGACAAAATAACTAAACTTAATGGACATTTTTGTTGAAAGACAAAAACTTGGAGCACAACAAAAAGACAACAACAAAAAAGACCTGCACAAAAATAACACTGGCAGAAAGAAGCGATTGAGAAACCCAAGCACTCAGCACCAGATCATTCAAAGACATTAATGACAAGTTTCTGGAAAAAGCGAACACATGAGAACATTGTGGTTTTCTGGAAGAATAAACTAAGTACTCTCCAACCGCCTAATTGCACTTTAAGTGAGTTGCAGAAGTTGTGAAAGCAGAGGCTGAGGAGTGTCAAGATGGGCCCGGAGATAGGGGTTGAGTGTCATTTAGAGCATGCGGCCGGCCAGGGTGCCCTCGTGCTTGTAGTTCACCATGCACCATTACCATCCACTCTCATTACCTAGCGGCCAAACAATATCGGCAGCATTAACGCTACCCGCAAGATACGATTTTCCATTCCAGCTGTTGAAGGAAGAGGATGACATGTCAAGCCTCACTAGACGATGATTCATACTAACCAGACGCCGCTTACCCCCCGAGAACCGAGATGTTCTAGAACATTCTGGCGCAGTGAGAGTTAATGCTATCCAATCACCTCCTGCATGTTTTATTATCCTTGCCTTTCTTCTATTCAGCATTTTGGGAAATCACAGGTTTCTACAGCAGAGTCAACACCAACAGAGCAGGGGGACTGTGTGGGTGGAAAAATGAAAGGCAGAATTCTAAATGCGTCTGACATGTCGTCCACTCCGCCGCTATGCTTCCCTTAGAGCGCTCGAAGGTAGACAACTAGCAGAGCTTCTCTGTCCAGAAAGAATTACAGAGCTTTGTAGAAAATGGAAATCAGAGCATAAGTGCACATACGTCAGAACATAATAACAGGGATCGCTTGTAGTGCGCTCGAGTGCCGTTCTCTATTAACATCTGCAGCGACATGCAAAGAGCAGGGGAAGTCATCTAGTTAGACCGAGCTTATTAAAACATGCAGCGGTCCATTTGTCTTATTGATCTGCCTATGTTCCGTAACAGCATGCTGCCGTTTGCATTAGATCCACCATTAGAGATATAATATGGCCTTTTTAGATGCCCTTTGGCTTCTTGAGTGTTTATTCCTCTTGTTTATCAGGCAGCTCAATGCCAAGTGGGCAGGGGCACATAGGCTTAGCTCTGGTCAGCCAATCACAGCAGCCTTTGAATCTAATTACCAGGCTGAGGCTCCGGAAGAGGCTCTTGTCCTCCTGCCGTGGTCTTAGGGGTTGAAAGGCATGGAAACAAAGGATGCCGAACGTAGTTTTTTAGAAAAGAGGGCGAGTGGGAAATATCTTCCCATCACCTCCAGCGCTAATTCTTTGTGGAAAACATTCCAAACCTAAATAGAATTTGAGAGGGGAACCTTGACATTACTCCCCGGTAAAAGGGAGTGGAAAATTTTGACATTTTCGTATTTCTAAATGATAATGTCAAGCCACCCTATGAGTATCTCCTTCTCCGAAAAGTCAATTCAAAGTCTCCCCTTACAGCAGTGCGAGGGCTGTATTGACATTTCTCTACTCTACGGAGATATCAATCGCAGATTGTTTGTGTTTATTGATGAGTAATCCTAATCTTCAAATCTTAACCTTTGGCGCTGACAGAGTGGGTGCAGAGTGACTTTTCAGGCGGCCAGGTCCAGCAGGGACGGCCTTTTTCAGCAGCCAAATCCAACTCCATGGGGCTTTCACTCACGTCAGTGGAGGAATTCTCTGCTCTCCCAAGCGCACAATGTTGTTTTAGTATAACGCCATATCAGCATGCATAGCATTAAATTATTAACTATATATTCGTTCCTCTCATGCATTAGTAAAAAACAACACTACTCGTAATTCAGACACAC